CCTCTTCCGTCCCTGGTGGAGAGCCCAACCCTTGTCAACCCTGGAGTCGCCATCTTACTTCCGAACCCGAAATGCGTTCGGCCACAACCCGGCATCGTCATCAACCGCGAAACCCAGAATTCGCTTTGAAAAAATCAAAAATTTGCTTCGACACCCGAAATTCCGTCGGCAGACGCGCGAGACCCGGAATTATCCGATCGGTCAGCCCGGGAAGTCGAATTTCCCTGCTTATACGACCGCTCTGCGGGCGATATGGAGGTCGGGGGGGATTGGGGTCAAATGCCCACCCTGACTGACCTGGATTGGACAAGATGGATTGGATAAGATTAGTTGGAGTGGATAAGAAAGCCCGCCGCAGGCGCCGACAAAAATGAATTGATGGATTGGGTTGGGTGGATTGGATTGGATGGGACAATATGGATTGGACAATATAAGATGGGCTGGATTGGAAAAAGTGGATTGGATAAGATCAGATGGATTGGACTGGCCCGCCGCAGGCGCAGAAACAAATGAATTGATGGATTGGGTTGTGTGGATTGGATTGGGTATGATAAGATAAGATAAGATAAGATGGGACAATATGGGTTGGATAAGATCAGATGGATTGGATTGGACAAGCTGGATTGGATCAGATAAGCTGGATTGGATAAGAAAGCCCGCCGCAGGTGCCGAAAAAAATGAATTATGAAATTAGCGACATGCGTTAGCGCCGGGACGCCCAGGACACCCGGGACACCCGGGACACCGCCCGGCCCAACTGGAACGCCTCCCAGCCACCGGCGGATCCACGGGTGACACCGGGGACACCCGGGACACCGCCCGGCCCAACTGGGACACCAACCTGGCCACCGGCGGACGAGAACGGACTTTCGCTTCTACTTCGGCCTAGCTACAGGAGGATCACGCGCAGCTTCGCCTCGCCGCACAGACGACACGAACACGAAACCGAAACCGATTTCCCGTTGGGGGGTCTCCGTTTCACTGAGATCTCACCCCCCAACCTCCGATATTTTGTTCACTTGCCTCTTTTCTTTTTTCTCCTCCCTCTCCTCCTCCTCCTCCTCCTCCTCCTCCGTCTTCTCCTCCTCCTCCTCCTCCTCCTCCTCCTCCTCCTCCTGTCATCGCTTTCTGCGGCCCCTCGCCGCCGACGACGACGACGACAGCGGCGACGACGACGTCGACGTCTGCCGACGTCGACGAACGACGTTCACTTCGGGTCCTGCCACCACGAGCAGTTCTTCACTCAAGGAACGGAGAATTTGTTTGACGGTCCTAGGCATACGCCAGAGGCCCTTGGTGGCCGAAAGCGCACAAACAGTTCCTATACGTTCACGTCGTTCTGTTGAAAGCGGCGGCGACGACGACGACCCTCCCTCGGCGACGGCGACGATGGCGACCACGCCGTCGACTTCGACGCCGTCGGCTCCGAAGTCGACGTCGGGTCCTGGGTCCCTGGGTAGTAGTAGTAGTAGTAGTAGTAGTAGTAGTAGTAGTAGTAGTAGTAGTAGTAGGAGTAGTAGTAGTAGTAGTCGTAGTAGTAGTAGTAGTAGTAGTAGTAGTAGTCGTAGTAGTAGTCGTAGTAGTAGTAGTAGTAGTAGTAGTAGTAGTAGTAGTGGTAGTCGTAGTAGTAGTAGTAGTAGTAGTAGTAGTAGTAGTAGTAGTTAGTAGTAGTAGTACTAGTAGTAGTAGTAGTAGTAGTAGTAGTAGTAGTCGTCGTCGTAGTAGTCGTAGTAGTATTAGTAGTAGTAGTAGTAGTAGTAGTAGTAGTAGTAGTCGTAGTCGTAGTCGTAGTCGTAGTAGTAGTGTAGTTAGTAGTAGTAGTAGTAGTAGTAAGTAGTAGTAGTAGTAGTGGTGGTGGTGGTGGTGTGGTGGTGGTGGTGGGTGGGTGGTGGTGGTGGTGGTGGTGGTGGTGGTGGTGGTAGTAGTAGTAATAGTAGAAGTAGTAGTTGTAGCTGTAGTAGTAGTCGTCGTCGTATTAGTAGTAGCAGTAGCAGCAGTAGTAGTAGTAGTAGTAGTAGTAGTAGTAGTAGTAGTAGTAGTAGTAGTAGTAGTAGTAGCAGCAGCAGTAGTAGTAGTAGTAGCAGCAGCAGCAGTAGTAGTAGTAGTAGTAGTAGTAGTAGTAGTAGTAGTAGTAGTAGTGGTGGTGGTAGTAGTAGTAGTAGTGGCGGCCAGTGCTTAATCCTGGGAGTTCACGAGCTGTTTGATGATGCAGGGGCCCGCCGGAGGAGGTGAAGAGGCGACGAGCGGGCGATCATCTTTGGGGAGCGAGCGGGGACTTCCAGGGGGGGGGGCGAGCGGGGAACTCTTCCGGGGCCCAGCGAGAATTCTCTGGATCGAGCGAGGATGTTGCCTCGGTTGGACGATGTTTTGGTTGCTGGCGCGGTCTCGCAGGGTACTTAGTCCTTTCCACGCGCAGCATGGGCGTTGCACTTGGAGAGCAAGCCGAGTGGCGCAACCCTACGCCAGTGAGACTCGCACCCTTGGGATGATGAGTCGAGTC